GCAGTTGGATACCCAAGGATTGTGGACATTTTATGGTAGCGATTCCAGTTTCTTTTAGCTCATGGGACCCTTTCTTTAATTTGAGTCAATATATTTGTTTTGAATTACTGGGTATTTCTTTCAGAAATTATTTTGTCTGCTAAGCACTGAAAAAAAAAAAGCCACACGACATCATCACCTGCGCTCTATGAAGAACCTGGCTCTTACTGCTCCTGAAAATCAGAACCTCACAGAGCTCGTGGTCTCTGGCACAGCCTTCCCACAGCTTGCTCCAAAACTCCCCATTGATCAGCTTCCCTCAGTTGTAACACTTATTGGCTTTGCATTTTTACTTGCTTGGTGTCATTTGGTTGTGTTAACAATTGAGGGTTAATGGTATCTACATTGTTATCGTTGTTGCAATATTTACACAGTGATATGGGAAATCTCAAAGAAAACTTTCAGCATCTGCTATGTAATTTCTGTGGGAGGAAAGTTGAGCCAGTAAGAAGGTACTAATGAATGCCATAATAATTGTATTCTGAGGTGTATAACTGTATAATAGAGATTACGAATGCTTCATTTTAGAGATAAATCAAATGATACTCAGAGACATTAGAATACATTCTCAAAGCCTACAACCAGCCTGGAGCAGAATTTTGACTAATTTATCCATTATAACAGATATTTCAGACCTTGAGCACAGAATGAAATCATATGTATTCATAATGCATTTTATACTGAATTAGTTTTCTTAGTCATCTTGCTTTATCTTTTTTTATCTTACCTATTTTTTTAAAAATCACAAACAAAATCTTCAAATGTTAGTTTTCAGAAGTCTTTTCACTAAAAATTAAATGTGCTAATTATTTTTGAGGCAAAGATTCACAGTGCATGTAATATATTGAAAAATATAATTGATAATGTCCTAAACAGTTCAATTAGTGTAAAATAAATATAAATAAATATAATTGAAATAATATAACTAATATAAAATAAATATAATTGGTATAATAATATAATTAGTATAAAATAAATAAATATAATTTAGATCACATGACTCCACCATGCAAAATCTTTCATTTTCTTTGTACATTACTCAGAATAAAATCTTGAATTCTGTGGTGTCCTAATCTGGAATTATTTGGTGAAGGTATTATTTTATATTTGATGTTGCATGAAAAACAAAATTATATTACTACTAGTCATGATTTCAAAATTGCCTGTTTCCATTTCCAATAAAATTCAGCATTCCGACAAAGTTTTTGTGGAGAATATATATATATATGTCATGTCACCGTGTTCAGGTGGAAATATCAGACTTCAAGTATCTCCAAAAGATGGATGGGTTCATATCCCAGTCTCTTACATTTAAGACTCAGCTTTTTCTGATGTGACTTTTTATAGTTGAAACCCTAATTTTCTCCGCATCTTGGCCATTTATAGATATATGGGTCAGAGTTAGTTTTAAAAATACTCTAAACTCTGCTGAATATACACAGAAATTCTCTTTCAGTTCTGACATTAGATTAACAATGTAATTTGACTAGGGATGGCTAAGATAATTAAGTAGTTTAAGTTAGACAAATGAAATTTAAAAGTCATATTCTTCTCTTTCTTTTTACTTACAAAAGCAACCATACCTTTCAAGATACCTTATTATTTTCTTCTTGCCTCATACGCTAGAGATAAGAGATGCCAATGAACAGGTAAATCCATGACTTCTTGGCTATATTTTTGTTTCATCATCTATCTGAAAAGGTGGGATCTGCCATGGAAGGGACCAAGAAAAGATGCCCTCTGACATTTCTAGGACATCCGCATAGGCTCTCGGGGCCAGGCCTCTCTTACTTCCTCTCCTTTTACTGATTGTGTGTTGTGGAGAGAATGTAGTATTCAGTCAGATTCATTCTCCAGTTCCCTCTGGCCGAGCAGTACATCTATTTCTGACCCTGGCTGTAGCAAGTTCTACTTTCTAGTCAGGCCGTTCTGCCTCTTGCTTCACCAACCAGAACTACATTTCCTAGAGTATTAAAATTTATGTTAAAAGATCGGAACAGAAGGTAGTCTCTGGGCCATGTTAGACACAGTGTGAGCTGGGATATTGAAGAGTTCGTTTAAAACAAGCATTTATAGCATTTTTCCTTAAATGAAATCTCAGTTCCCTTTCAAATTTAAAACTTTGACACTAGAAGCCATCAGAGTCAAGTTTTTTCATATTTTTAGAGGAAGCCTGTTTTGACCTACTTTCAGTTACGAGTATTTTGTAAGCCAAAATTGTATAATTGGATCCCAGTATGTCAGGCGATACCATGGTGAAATGTCATTGAAGCAAATAATGAAAATAGTGAAGATATTACCAAATGTTAAAAAATGGAAAATAAAATTTATGGAACCCCAAAAGCCTAGTAACTATTGAATCAACGTTCGGTTTATATTCACACTGTGTATGTCGCCTTCCTTATAGGAAAAAACTTTTTTTAAGTAGTGTGATACACATTTTGCACAACTCAGTAACACTGTCTTTTATTTTTCTTGTCGAGTTAAATCATGTGAAAAATAGATGCATGTAAATAACGCTTGAAATGTTCAATAATGTGCAAGTGTTAGATTTCTTGATCTTCAATTTCCATGTTATTTAGATTTCAAGACTATTTAATATGCAGATTTCAGTTTGCCTGGGCCAAAATGATACTTTTGTATAGAGTTCTGGCTGGTTTATCTGTAGTATTTCACAGTTATATCTTGGGTATATTTCTCTCATTGGAATGCTATACTACTGCGCTAAGTACTGATATGAAAAGAAATAAAAATTACTCTTTGAAAATGAAAACGAACACCGGGCTCAGTGGCTCAGCCTGTAATCCCGCGCCTTTGGGAGGCTGAGGTGAGTGGATTGCCTGAGCCCGCGGGTTCGAGACCCGCCTGGGCAGCGAGACCTCATCTCTACAATAAATCAAAAAATCAGCCGGGCGTGGTAGCGCATGCCTGTAATTCCGGCTACTCGGAAGGCTGAGGCGGAAGGATCACCGGAGCCCAGCAGGTTGAGGCTGCGGTGGCCGGGAGCAGCCACTGCACTCCAGTCTGGGTGACAGAGTGAGACTCCAACTCAAAAAAAAAAATAATAATAAATAAATAAATAAAAATGAAAAAGAAAATTGCATAACAGTACATGCATTACATTTTTGTAAGATAAAGGAAAGTTAGAATATAGCATTTGCATTTGTTTACATATGTATAAAGAAACACTGAAAGCATATACAATAAGGTAATAAAATATATTATTTATAAGGAAAGGAGAGAAAAAAGACATCTCAATTTTTGTCTTTTGATGTAGTTTGATTATAAAAATGAGAATGCATTGCCTATATATACAAGTTAAACTTTTAACATGTAGTTATTAGATATGTACTGAAATTGTTTGACCTTTAGAGAACAGTTGAAATAACATTTTACTATCTGTAATTTGTTCATTGATAAAAAGTAACTTCTTGATAAGTTTATAATCTAGAATTTTAAAAAATATCACTCTATACCCCAAATTTCTTTATGAGATATTATTTACCATTGCCACAATTAATGCTGGTTTTTATCTAAAGAAAAAGTGAAGACTTTTATTTAAACAACAACAAAAAATACTGTTCAAAGTGCTACATAAAGTTTCAAGTAGAGTAGACTTTAAAAATCAATTTTGTGCTGTTTATTCTAGGTAGGACATTTACCGGCACAAACTGGATTGAGTGATGTTGAATCAAACTTACTTTGAATTCAATTTATGTCAGTTAATTCAGCAAATATTTGTTGATCATCTACATACCATTTTAGGCACTTACAATACATCGGAGCCGAAAAACAACAGTGATTCCTGCACATGTTTGTAAACTTCAGCTGAGGTGGAAGGGAAACAGAAAAAAATATAACATAGGCAAATTATATAGTATTTTTATTGAATACCATTATAAATAAACTTTTTAAAATTAAAAAGTCTGGGCATGGTGGCTCATGCCTGTAATCTCAGCACTTTGGAGGCCAAGGACAAGGTGTGAAAATTGTATGAGGCCAGGATTTCAAGACAAGCCTGGGCAACATAACAAGACCTCGTTTCTACAAAAATAAAAATAAATTAGCCAGGCATAAAGTCACAGCTAATTGGGAAGATGAGATGGGAAGATAACCTGAGTCCAAAAGGCTGAGACTGCGATGAACGGATCATGCCACTGCACTCCAGCCTGGGCAAAGAATGAGACTCTCACTCAATAAAGAAACAAACAACAAACAAACAAATAAATATTAAAAACAAAATCATGGCTTTTATACAAACATAAAATAAACACCTTCAAAAGTTAACTCACTAATTAATGAGAATACTAGTAACATGTAATTGGTTCAAGGGAGAAATCAAAGAACCTCATCTTTACATTCATAAAATGAATAGTGAAAAGTTATGAGTAAGTGCAAAACCTACTCAATATTCACAGAATACTAATCAATTGCATTCCAGCAAATACAGTTAATTTTTATTTCTATGAGCTAGAATTATTTGCATTCAGTTTTTTTAATTACATGTTATGGATAAGAATGATTGGCATTATTGCTGGTGTTCTACAATTTATAAAGTTATAAAGTAGCATTGCTGTAATTTCTGAAAGAGATAGGACTTTATCAACAAGTTTTATTTATTATGGCTCATTCCAATATAAGAAAAGTGAAGTATCAATTGCACCATATTTAGAAGACCATAGTTTTGTGTGGCTCTGGAAGCATGGTTTTGACTCTCTGTGAAAGTAATTCATCAATATTTATAATTCTCTTATCTTCAAAAGGTAGCTAATAGTGTGAAAACCAATGTCCGTTAACATGTTTTGTTTTACTGGTCTGAGTGTTTTAAGGTACAATTATTCTATTTGTTTCTTAGTCAGAAATTTGGTTTTGGTAAAACTTGAAACGCTACTTCATTCTCACTACCTATTTTCCTTGCCCATTTATTCATGAATTTATTGATTTAATTTTTTATGTCTCAGGTGCTGGGAACTTAATGCTGGAGACATCAAGTGGATTTACCAAGCACCAATCTTAGCAGCTATTGTGGTACGTTTCAAAGTTTGTATAAAAAAAGAAGGAAATTCCCCCCCTAAACTGGAATTATCTTTCGGAGGGTGGGCCCCTTGGAGTACAGGCTTCCCTCACTAGGTAAGTGTTCTAGGAACCCATCAGCATCGGTGTATCCACTAACGTTGTGAGAGAAAATTTGTGGAAGAAACGTCCCAAGTTGTGGTTCTTCCACCATGAAAATGCACAGGTCCCCACCGTGCTGAGTGTTCAAGCAGTTTTTGACCAAAACCAGCATAGCCCCTGTGCCCCATCCTGCCTATTCACTTGACCTCTCCCAGAGTGACTTTTGTTGTTGTTTTCCTGGATGAAAAGCGTTCTCAAAGGGAAATATTTTGCTGATGTGGAAGAGCAACACACAAAATGGCAGACACACTGAAAGGCGTAAAAACTGACAAGTTCAAAAACGGTTTTGAACGGTGGAAAAACCATCTAAATGGGTGAATTGTATCAAGTGGAGAGTACTTGGAAGGTCACTGAAGCTTAAACACGTAAGAATAAATGTACAATTAAAAGAATAAATTCCACGTTTTCAGAAGTCCCTCCTTGTATTTAAACTTCTGCTAAATCCCAAAGTTTCTCTTCACTTTATTCTACCATAGTTTTGGAAAACCCTCACGTGTACAGCAACAGCTGCTGGGCGAGTCTCAGATGGGATCAGACTCGTATTTGTGGTTGACACTGATACCCATGCAGAAAACACTTACCCTTCCTTTAAACAACAAGAGCTTGAAGGCTGTTCTGAGACTTCAAAATATCTATGAGCATTTTTACATTTAGAGAGCTGTAGGTCTCTAAATCTCATCCCCTTTTTCATTGATTATATCATTTTTTTCCACTTTGATGTTCTGATCACCTAGTAGAAGGTCAAGGTGGTGGGGAGGAAAAGATGGAAGAACAGGGGAACAGACAAATTACTGAGAGAGAATGATAAAATAGTATGAGCCGTTATGAAGCATTGCCTAAAGCCTTCTTTTGGCATACTTCTACCAAGGAGTTAAGTGCATGCCATACCAAGAAATGTCCTGCAGAATTCTAATAGGCGAGAAGGAATCAAACTGGCCTTGGCAGTGCTTGTTGCACTGTGCCTTACCTGTCTGTGTGATTTCAACTGGATATTTTATCTGTGTTACAAAGGAAAACACAACTGCACACTTTCTCTTTTTTTGCCCTTTAAAAAAAAATTTAAAGATGTGGAGTACAATTCAGAATTAGGTATGCAGGTGGTCATTGTACAGGTAAAGTTTGGGCCTCTCTTTGGTCCCACCTTCGCCTGATTTGAGATCAGTCACCCTTATTGATGTGTCCCACCTCCCCTCACCTCCCCAGCAGTATCTCGCTGCTGCCAATCCCTTTCTTATAGTATTATGGTAATTGTTCAGGGTCTGCTTATGAGAAAGAACATGTGGTATTCAGTCCTTTGTTTCTGTGATAGATCACTGAGTATTATAGGCTCTAAATCCATCCAAGTTACTGCAAAAGTCCATATGTTTGCCCGTCTTTATGACTGCATAATAGTCCGTTGTATATATGTACCACTTTTTTTTATCCAGTCCAGTTTCGATGGGCAACACAGTTGGTTCCATGTTTTTGCTGTTGTGAATGAAAATTGCACAATTTCTTATGTCTAACAAAACTTACCAGAATGATGTCTACTCTCGACCTCCACTGAAGACTTTAAGCCATCAGCTTTTCTCGGCTTGATAAAAAAAGTTTTACCACTTTGTGTTTTTCTGGTGTTTGATGAATGTAATACAGATTATAAGCATCTTACTTAAAAAGAGGACTGATGTTCCAATATTAAATGTTAAATCACTAGAAAACAGTTTAGCAACCTGATCATTTTTTGTGTTTTTCTTTGTGCTCCAGTTTCTTACTTTTCTTATTCTGTTTTCGTTTGAACAATGTGTTACCTACTTTTTCAGCATATTGGCATGCTGGGTCCAGAAAGGCAGATATTAATGTGGTTGATGTTTTGTAGAATCATACAAAGAGTCAGATAAAAGCTTATTTACCTCATGAGAAAAAATGCAGAAAGAAAAATAGAAGAGATCAAAAGGAATCTTCATTTTAGAGGCCCATTGAAGTAAATGTTTAAAGGGGGATTCGAATATGGAACGTTTTAGTGAAGCCAGTTTGTAACCTTGCTAAAATATCCTGTTAACTAATGAGAATCAATTCCCTTTGTCCTAGGACAAGCTCAAAACTGGGTTGTGGGTAAATGAATGAATGACTTAAATTTATCAACTCTTATAATTTTAATTTTATTGTAAATAAAATGTTGCTATATTAATCTAGTGATAAACCATCTCAGAACTACAACTATATTCCTGAGAGAAAATCAATGTGCTTAAAGATAAAAATTAAACACTCTGATTTCCCTTTTATCTATCAATGCTTTATTATGTATACTTTCAAATCTTTTATTTTCCTTAAGTTCCATCTCTATGTTTGCTCCTCCATTACCTTTTTAAGGCAACAATCCATGTCTTATTACTTTTATTGTCTTCAGTGTTTTGTATTGGACTAATAAGAAATGCTTAATGCTCTTACATCTACCTACATTTGTATACTATAATTAAGTATACAAATGTATCATTTTATCCATTTGATAAAAGGAATCATTAGGCATCAAAGCAAAGGATAGTGGAGAAAAGAAAATTAGGGCATTTTTCTTTAAAATAATTGATTTTTACCCCAAACTTTATTGTTGGTTTGCAGTTATATTACATCATCAACATGACTGAATAATTTATTTGCTGGAGTTTCTAAGTTGCAGTGTGAAACAGTGAAGTCAGGAGATTAAAGAACTTCTAAAAGATTTACCATTGGTGAAGAATAACTAGAATTGATGGTACACTAAATAAAATTTGAAGAATGTTAAGGTGGAAAGCCATTTTTGTCTTCTTATACTAAAATTGTGATAGTTCCAAAGCCATTATTCTTAAGTACTTTTCCAATAGTCCAAAGTTCATTTAACTAAAAAATCAAAGATGAGATTTAAGAACACCTTTTGTTCACAGAGAGTTAACTTTTTATTTCATTATTACACTTCAGGGTTGTTACAATTCCTTTGAAGTTTCTTAATTTATTCACAATCTACTAGTGTATCTGAAAGTTTTCATAAAATGTTGAGTCCGGTTTGAAATCAATATTCCACTTACTTTATCAATAATTTAGAGAAAGTTGAGTTATGAAAGAGAAAATCTAAAAAGCCAAATGGAAAACTAAGGAAAATAAAAGATAGAATTATAAAAGAAAACTTCGTTTGCAGTAACATGAGGGAAATGCCCGAAGAGACAAGAAGGCAAAACTCAAGAACAGAGAGCTTCCACGAGGGAGATTTTCTCTCTTGGTAGCAAGAATATTGAAGGCCCTGCATGGATAATTATATTGGATGTATAATACCAGGCAGAAAGACTACTAGCAGTAGTGGTTCAGAGGAACAACTTAAAGCATACACAGAAATCTTGAAAATACGAGTGTTTGGAACAGTAAATCCAAGTTGATATGTTTTGAAACCTGAGGTCCAGGGACAGTGATTATTTTACTCAGAATTCCAAAAGATCAGAGCTCCATAAACAAGATCAGCTTTCAGAAAATTTAAAAAAAGAAAAAGAGGAGGCATTGAGTATCTACTTTGGAAGTAAGTGGGATTCATAATCAACACAAAATCATGAGCAAAGACTGTGGTGGTTAATAGGGAAAAGTCTTTCATGTATTTATTTATATAAGTTGGGAGAGAGATACAGAGCATTCTGATCATCTGGGCCAAGGTTGTGTGTAGAATAATGTCAGGAGCTGAACCTGCAAAGCAGGAAGGAATTTGACACAGAAAGTGCTCCTAAACCTCACTAAAGAATTGAGACCTCATTCTGCGAGTGGTGACAACCAAAGGTTTACAGATTGAAGAGTGAAGGAATTAGGTGTTCAGTGCAGAAAGATCCCAGAGCTTGGCTGAGGCTGGTAGGGATGACCAGGTAATGGTGGTGTCTGTTGGGTGGGGGTTTAGCCACAGTGATGGCAGGTGGACAGAATGTAGGTCTGAGAGCGTTCCAAGGCAAAAGAGACCAGAAACCAGGGTATGAATTTGCGAGCACTTTCCCTTTACACCTGGGATACATTTCCCCATTTCCAAGATCCAGTTTCTTCTTCTACCCCCATCTTGTATCACGACCCCTTCTGTGAACTTGCTATACTGTTTCCCACTCCCGGTCCTTTGCCTGTGCTATTCTGCAAGCTTGATAGAGTTTTCCCCTGCTTGTCACCTGCCTAATGTTCCTTCTCCCTTCAGGTCCCAGATTTAAAGGCAACCTCTTCAGTTGACCTTTTCTGACCACTTTACACTGTCACAATAGTTAAAGCATAGATAGATTCTTGGGCCAGTCTGCCCCTTTGTCGAGTGTGCAGGCTGAAATTGTATTGGGCAGGCTAACCTTGGACAAGTGATTTCAACTAGGATTCACTTTTGCCATCTGTAAGGTGGGAAGAATGATATAGATTAAATGATCACTGAACTGCATTAGAAACAGTGACTGGCACATGGCACTCTATGCGTTAGTGGTTATCGTTTTTATTTTTCATGTGTTAATAGCTTGCTCACAACTCAGGAAGATTCAGATACTGGTGCTTGCTCACAACTCAGGAAGATACAGCTAACAGTGCCCTTGAGGCTTCAGTGTCATTTTGTGCTTTTGTGGGGGCTGGTTTGCCAAAGAGTTTTTCTCAGTACCTCTACCCCCAGCTTTAGGTCTGCTCTTTGCATCAGTGCTTCAGACCAGGTCTCCCTCCAGGCTCTGGATCCTCCACAGAAGTAGCCCATTCTGTTGGTTTACTTGCTAGCCTGGTAGAGGAAGTTGGGGGACCAGACCAGCTGTATCATTAGCAAAGTCCAGTGCAAAATGAAAATGCAAGGTCTCTTATTTAAAAAAAAATCATTAAGAATTTCGAGGTGGAGACAGCAGAGTATTAAACCAAGC